AGATACCAGCCATCGAACATAATGTAAATTCACCAACTGACCAAGGGCTCACTGTCTTAGACGAGAAGACAATGTACTACACACACACACACACACATTTGTGTTTGCACATCTGTTTTGACAAATAACAGATATTTGACAATGGCCATGTTCAAATGGACATGCCCAGTCCCTTGTACTACAGCACGCATATCTTAGGTAAGCGTCATTTAAGCTTATAAAACAGACCTTTTGCGGTTCTTCGCGTTTTTTTGCCATTGTAATAACAACCATATAGTGCTGGGGGAGGAGGGAGGAAAAAATGTTGGAACCGGATGCTTTTTATGACTGGCCGTGAGCTCACGAATCGCAAAGTGTGTTTTTTTTATAAACTAAAACAAACATAGCGAGACAGTGGTTCATTGCCTTCACACTCGCATCCAATCCATTGTGCAGCCCAGCGTTTTGTTTTATGCCCCCGGGGAGCCCCTCACCTTTGTCCAGGATGAGCAGCCGAAACACGAGAATATGAATTTATTTTCCCTTTAGTCTTTACGAGTTCATTCAAACTGCCCGCAGTCACCGTCCGCACAGCATGGAGCGCGTACATCTGTTCCATATTAAAACTGGGAGCCACATCATTTAACCGGAATCCATTTCCTCCCTTCCTGAATAACTACATTTTAAGCACGTATTCCACAGGTAATGGAAAAGGGAAGACAGTGCATCCATTCACAGTGCCTCCTAAGTCTCACAAACAGCTAAACAGTTGGTATCTGTAGCTTGTATAAATAGTGTTGTATAAACATATAGGGTGACCATATTTTGCTTTGCAAAAAAAGAGGACAGCAGGGGCAGGACGCAGAGAGGCGCCTAAAGCAACGCAAATATACACACATAAAGTGTAGTGACTGTAGAAAGCAAATGTCAACTTGAAACGAAGCGAAATTCCTGACATTTCAGGCGATTTTAGGTCCCAATAAAGAAGTCCGGGGAAAAGAGGACGTACGGTCATCCTACATATGAATGAATGTACAGTGTCTCTATACAAAACACAATGCGATCACAGTTCCCAACCGAAGTTTTAAACAAATCGTTCCCTTTTACAAACAGGGACCCCCACCAATCTAATGCCCCGCTGTATCATACATTGGAAGACAGGTCCTTCAAAAACCCACATTTGCGTTCATCTGATTTACGCCGACTGCATTACAGGCAACCGGGCAAAATCATAGAAACATGGACAGCAATACGTGTCGGCTTAAGCTCCGCGTTTTCCGTCATCCTCTACACGAGCGTCAGATTTAACAGTCCTGTAACCTGACCAAATTAACTATTTTAAAGTTTATTATAACGTGCATGTTGCTGTTGCGTTACCGCTCCTCTCTTAAATCTAAATTGCCACCAGAATAATAATCTGGATTACTCTCAATGCTGTAATAACGCTCAAACTTAAGTCGTATAACTGATCACCTGTTTGTTACGGTTTCCTCGTCGTTAGGACCTGGAAACAGGCGAAGGGGAGAAGCAGAAGAGCCGCCGGTGACTGTAGGACAGAGCCGCTCCGCACAGCGCTGCGCTGGACCGACTGGGCTCTGCGCTCCTTCCTGTATCCGCAACCTGCGCAGACCCACCCACTCAGGCCGCGGCAAAGCAGCCGCTTCGGCTCACGCTTAAAAACCTGATTGCATGGTAAACTTACAATGCTTGGATCACGCGTGAAGATATTTACAGATTATTATGGTGCAGAGACGTAAAGGAATCTGAGCTTAATAGTTTTTGGTAATAGGACATCATGAACTAATGGCAATGCGTGGCAGTGATACTGTGCTGCCATCTGCTGCGTAAATAAGAGGAGTGCAATCGGGTTTTAAACGCTTGAATTTTTTACAAGTTTGAAACTTTTAAACGCAATATCCGTTTGTCATGTGTCTGGGCGACTCTCCTACTCTGTATAGAAAGCTTCTTTTGTTTGTATGATATAATTACAAAGTAAAGGAAAAAGATTTCTGCGCATTCTGTGTCGTTTTTCTCTATCTTCAATTGGCATGTGTGTGTGTAGGAACGTAGTCTCGCAGACTACGAGGAGTAGAAGTTGTCCGACTTGGCTGCAGTCAGTTTATACTCCACCCCTGTAGCCGCCGGCAGATGGCGTCACGTCAGCTACAGACAAACCTAAGCCCACGTCGAACGCACCCATTAATTGAAATGGTTTAGTTTAGTTTGCAAACCCTGTCCTATCTCATAGCGTCCCCCTGACAGGGATTAGGTGGTCACCTTAGGTGGTGCCCTATACCCTGGATTATTGCCTACTTTGTGTCTGTGGCTTCTGGAACAGACTCTGCATAGGATAATTAAGTGGGTATAGAAGACGGATGAATGTAGAAGTCAAATAGGAGGAGAACGCAGGATTTCACACACAAAGTATTCCTGAACCAAGCAATGTATTAAAAAGTCTGGTATGTCAGATCCAGTCTTGGCGTGTATCAGGTTCAGTACTACTGTGGTGGCATAGGTGGGCGATCCTGGTCGTGTCCAGATGGAACTCGCCCATTCAGCATTCACTGCGAGCAATACGATAAAACAATTGCGTCTGAGAAGTATGTGTGTAAGTGGCTAGATCAGTTGGGCAGAATCTGCTGTACTATGCTGCCTGCATCGTGCTGGTCAGAGACGGTTGTATTTATGAGACCATGGCGTGGCGCGGTGACATAGCACCCTCTCCTGGCGGACCTGTGCATAGTTCAAAATGAGATTGGAAAAGTCGTGTAAAGCAGGGTTTAGCCTTTCTCACCACAAGGTCCGGCTATTGATACTTTTATCATCGACATCCGAAAATGTTTTAGTTTTTTTTTTTTTTTTTGCGGCGGCCTATCTGAATTATTATTCGAGGAAAAGGTGTTAGAAAAACGGTTTCTCTGTATAAGGGGCATTCCACCGGCTTTACTGTAAAACTATTTCCGGCAAATATTCAATTTATAAGCCATTTAGTTATGGGGCTCTCGTTTTCAAGGACCGACTAATAAATTAATCAACCACATAATAAATACATAATAAGCTGAGATAAGACCTGGCAGAAAGCACATTTTGATAAAATTTGAAGATTCTCTCCTTGTCCAGTAGATGGCGGACGTAGACTGTAAATATGACATTTACAGCTAAGCTTTTCAATCGAACTAATGGTGTTACTACTGCAGTTTTGTCCTTAGTCTTTGAAAATCGGTTTTAAGATTTCCTATTACAAGTAACAGACAATGAGTTAATAAAATAAATATCTTCGGAAGGAAATCAATAAAACGTTAAACGTCTGAATTAAATCAGTTCTAAAGATAGATCAAGACGTAAGAAAAAGTTATCAAAACCTGTCAGTTTTTTTAAAATAGAGATATTTCGTTTTTTTAACCTTACAAAATTTTGATTTGGAAAAACTTGCGGTGAAAAGGTAGTGAAACCTCTCCACAAATATATGAAAAAAGTAAGCATATTACATGGTTGTAGCTGCTATTATAAATTTACACAAAGTAATAATAATAACACCATGTAACAATACTAGTTAATGCAATAATATAATCCGTCAACTATACTAGCTAGTTAACGTACATAATTAGGGTTCTGGATTCTAACTCGTTCCCTATCTTAAAATGGAAAAAGAAACCTTTCGTATGTATTTATGAATGGGAGAGGAGTGTGTGCAATTTACATGATAGATATTGAATACATTAAATAATCAAAATAACAAATAGGCCTAGTTGAATATTTCTCTCAATATATTTTTTTAACTAGCTTAATTGTTAATTAGTTAACTGGTGCCTATACACAATTAAATTTCATCGTATAAAAGTATCCATCGCATTCACTGTTTGTTAAATCAAACAATCATTACTTCTTATAACGGATATTTTTGCGTGTAATTAATGTGGTTATTTATATGACTAGATAAACTGCTTAAATATTAATAAGCTATCCAACAAGTTATATGTTCATGTAAGGTTAGGCATTACACAAAATGAATGCAACTTTAAATATAATTTAAAAATCATTTTATTTCAGCATTTGTGGGTGTTCAATCACAATATTAAATCGTTGTTTACATTGTAGATGAAATTCATCCGTCGAACACCTAGTTAATAAATCATTTTAGCGAAGTGATCAGCGATGTTAAAATCAGTTTAAACCCACAATAAAGAAATTGATGATCTACGGTGTCGGTATTTTTAAAGGCAAATGTGTAATTTAGAGGGGGGGGGATCGCAGTCTTCTTCAACAAATTCACTACTTTAAATTAAAAAGTAATGTCTTATCTTGTATTGTGTTTATATGACAAAGGAGGCACCAAACTCCAAAAATTAATGATTTAGAAACGTAAGTAGTCAAGCGATCGATTCGAGATTTTATTATTACATTTCCAAATTAACTGGGTTTTTCATATATCACTGTATTAAGTGTAAACTATTCATGTTACAGTAGGTCGTTAGAAGCCTTCACCAGCGGCTTCGGTGACTAACGCTGGACAATTAAGAACCGTGTGTGGCGTGAAAAGTCAGAAGTTTACGATCTTTGAAAACAACATGGAGTTCTGTGATCCAAATGCCCTGATATGGACACGGCGTCTTCATGTTCTTTATCAAAAAAGCAGCCCTCTGGGACATGGTTCCAAATCCATAACAAAGATAGGAGAGGAAGACAGACGTTCTTTGGGGTTGATAACAATAGGACAGGCCATAAATGATGCTTTCTGTAAACTTAAACGTATACTGTTTGTACTTGTGTATAATCATCCCTGCATACAGTAACTGAAGAAATTCAATATTGTTTGACAGGATCTAACATATCTGGGACAAATTCTGTGATGGATGAGAAAATTTTGGTATTACAGCAAGAAAATTCCTAAATGGGTGACAGACCTGTGGATCGTTCAGTTAAAAAATGTGGATCAACTTCAGTTCCTCTTATTTCTGACAATGTCAAGTTTACCATTTACTAATAGAAATGTGTGCACAATGAAAACAAATACAACTGTAGAGAATTTTTGGTTTTAAGGTTCATTAAAGGTGCATTCAATATAATGTTCTTTCATAGTTCTACAGGAGAAGCATATTCACAAACTTTATTTATATACATAGTACTTATAGAAAAAAAACTAAAATAAGCCTTTAATAGCAGCAAAAGAAAACTACAAGAATTATTTACAACCTTTAAATGAGGAATAATACACTGCAAAAAATATTCAGATATTTTTAAGCACAATATTGTGTTATATACAAGTATGATTCCCATTAAGTTTACACCTCTCCTTTTTACCCCAGGTCAGTGTTGTTTTTATATAATGACATTCTGAGTGATTGTTTTTTTTTTTTTTAAACAGGAAAGCGAGATGTCAGCATTCGTATGAGAACATCAAATTATGCACGCTTAGCAAACGGTGACAAATTTTCTTTCGTAAAATCTGCTCTCAACGTTTAACCTGGAAAACAAAGCAGTGAACTGTAAACGCGGGATGACGGGCACGCAGGCGACAGCCGGGGAGAGCCGTCCCCAGACCTCCCACGTGCTCAAGCACACACTTCCATCTGCACCTTACTAGAGGTCTCAAGCATTCAGCAGAGCTCTAAGTCTCTCTCTATATATTTTTCAATAACTTCTTAAATAAAGTCAGTGTCCATTTCACAAGCTCAAAAAAATAAATATCCACAGTTTCATATTCTTTTGAAAGATGCCCCCCCCCCAACTTTATGTGCAAGTTCCACGCGTCGTAAGATCTTTTGCTGTAAATTAACAAACATTACATTCGATCTTTTCCACTGTGATCCGATGGAATCAAATTCAGACTACGGCCTGGGTCAGACCACTCAGACCCCAGGCCGGTCTCTACATTCCGTAGTCGACGGTAAGAGGTTCTGGAGAATGTCACTAAAATCGAACTTCAAGTATTGAAAAATACCCTTTACGAGTAGTTCTAAGCCTTGTATGTTCAGCCATAATTACTTTTAAAATAAGGTAACTAGGATACGCATTCACCCACTCATGCATTATAAAACCACAATCGCTCTGCCTTTGAACACGCGCAGTGAGGCAGACATTATTGCAGCTGTCGTGATTTGTCAGAAATGTGATGGGGGGGTTTTCTTTTCAAGTTTTGTTCATCTTCTTTTCATATTTTGAAGACATCACCTTATTTTTTTCTTTTAAACACAATAAACTAATATTTGCATTAATCTACTTCTATAGATAGATTGATAGGTATATATATATATAAATCATATTTAGATACAGATGACTATGCGCTCTGTTTATTTACAGTATAAATAAACGTTGAGCATAACGCGTTTATCATATATAAATCTAACTCAGAAAATAAAGCCACGCGCCACCTTTTAATAATTCCCGCAGTACGTGACAGGTGTCAGCCTTCAATACTTCGCAGCCAAAGACCAATATGACACCTGGGAGGTGTCACCAAACCGGGGGTAGTAGCTTCATCATGCCCCACAGGTGCCTGCGGTAACAGATCTGCGCAGATCTGCGCCTTAAGTGCAATGGCTCTATTCAGGGAAAAAAAAAATACACTCACATCATTGCATGTCACAGTGTAAAACCTACAATGTGTGACTTAAGAACTGCCCCATAGCATCTGTGGCTCACATCAAGGTCAGTGCCCCAGTGATTCATGGGACCTCATGACGCTGTAGTCTAAATACCCAGGCCAGAGAACAGGCCTCCCCAGAACTACAATGGCAGGACCAAGTCTCTCACTTAACCAGCAGTGTGCTCACACGTCTCCTCTCCATACTGGCTTGCCATTCATACTTTTTTCAGTACATGTACACGTAGGAAAGGGCGATTTTTGTGTCTCAGCTCTGAGTGCAACTAGCAAAGGAGTTTGACTCCATCCCTTCTGCTTGCCAAAGTCCCAGTAGGTGATAAGCGCCTCCTACTGGTACAAGCAAAACCAGTTTACATTAATATCTGACTTATGTTAATACATAGAAAAACAACCAGAAAAAAATGGTAGAGAACGTCAATCCAGCACTTCAAACTCTGCTCCATCTTGGACGCGCTTCCAAAGTGCCCATGAAATCTTCATATACTGTATATCGACAGAAGTGTTTTCACAATAAGTAACGGTAGTTTACTGTAGTCTTCATAAGTAATGCCTTAAAGAAAGTGAATGAACCAGTGTTTCCATAGTAAGAGGAAGATCACAGCAAACCCAAGGAAACTATCAAACACACGAATGGGTTCCTCGGGGAACCATGCAACGGCGACCTCTGCTGAGCTGTCTCATGCAAGCTGCAGACGCCCCACTCCCGCATCTCCACGTCATCATTCGATTGGAAGGGACGCGAGAGTGAATCAGCACACCAAACAGTATCCTCACACCACCTACACCTCTTGGGGAAGTCCTCCTGAACCGACACCCGCTATCAGCTCAGGAGACTCGACGTGAGTCTACAAGAATAATTGAGCAGTTTGACAATCAATTTGCATAATAAAATTTACAGAAAACCAATTAAAAACACGGGTGGCGATTGAAAAATATTTCAGAATTATTGTCGGATCTGTATAAAGAATGTGAATTCTGTCCTTATTGTTTATTTTGATTCAAGGGGACTGCAGATTACTGAGACCTGGAGCCAAAACATGCTGTGAGTTTCCTGATAGCTGTTCTGCTGAATCCCCAGAGGTGCCTGACTGTGCCCCCGGAGGCCCTGAGAGGGTGAAGCTACAGACCTCTGCGCTCCGTAGCCTAAAACCATGCGAGGACAGGCCTTAACGCGGCCCTGTGCTCAGATTATGTAAAGCCAATCACGAATGGGTAGTCTTTCACCAGTCACGTGGGGGGAATGTTAATGCCGATGGGGTTTGCGATGGTTTCTGTTGCTGGGATCACAGCGTGGACTCGCACCCCACCTTACAGGCGGCAGTGTCGCCTTTCTGGGTCAGCTGGAGCACACTCGGCTTCTCCACGGGCTTGCTCTGGCCCGGCACCGCCAGCGGCAAGGCCTTGGCCTGCTCGGCTTTGGCCTCGTCGGTGTTGGGGTAGATGACCAGGAAGCTGGCAGTGAGGAAGCCCAGGAGGGAGCCGCCGGATGCCACGATGGGTATGACCCTCACACTGCCCACCACCTCCACCATCGCACCCAAAGCAGAGGCCACCAGGATCTGGGAGATGTAGACCTGACAGGACAGGATGGCACAGTCGATGCCAAAGCCTCTCTTTGAGTTCCCAGGACTGTGGTGGATATACTGCAGAGAAACAATTCAGTGGACATTAGAAATTACAAGGAAAGCATAATCTATAACTGACAAACTCAAAGAAGCCATCCTTGACATTCTGGAAACCTTCAAGGACTCACCTCCTTGATGTCATGGTACTGGCCAAGAAGGGCATAGGGGCAGTAGGAGATGCTCATGGAGATGACGCCCATGCTGCTGATCATCACCATGGATACATAGACGTTGGGAAAGATGGCCATCACCGCTGTGCCGATGCAGAAGCAAAGAGTGCCCAATATGTAGATAACCCTGATGCTGAGGTCGAAGTTGTCCAAGTATTTCTGAAGCAGAGCTGAGCAAGACAACACGATGACTTCAGATGGATATACACTCATACATATACCAGCCTGTCCTTCGTTACAGTCCTTACCCTCACCTTCGAGGCAGAGTAACAGTAATCAGACTTCTTTCAGTAGCGGTCAGGGGAACGTTACGATAGCCAGAAGAGTTACCCTTGCCCTGTACCCATGAAGCACTTTAGCCCCTTGTACCACGCAGATCACTCACCTGAGCAGATTGCAGCAGTAGCAGCGTAGATAACCAGCCCCCAGCAGCCCATCTGGACACCTTTGTGGTAGTTCTGGAGGGCAGTGGAGTTAGTAGCAGCCTACGGTAAGGAGAAACAAAGATGTTCTCACGTGACCCTATCTGCTCAGTTTTACTTGATGCAGAGGTGGATAGTTCAGGTCCAGAAAGTAAAAATCCAGACTAAGATCTTGTTTCAACCAACCAGTGGAGTACTCTGTAACTGAGACTCTTTATACCCAACAGGTTGGTTGAAACACAATCTTGGTCTGGATTTTTAATTCCTGGAACTGAATTATCCATCTCTGCCCAATGGGCTTCTCAATTTCAGAGGGTGCAAACAACCAGGGGAGACAGGGCTTTACCTTTGGGTCACCCTCAAAGATGACCTGACCCATGAAATCCGTGTAGAAAACAGCCTCGGCGATGATGGCGAACCAGGTGAGCAGGTGGCAGACGCAGAGTCGCAGGAGCTGGGGAGGCATCTTGAGCATGGAGAGCCAGAGGAGGCGCACGCTGGTCTCCACCTCGCCCTCGTCGCTCTCCGTATCCCCGCTGGAGTTGGTGTTTCCGCTCTGGTGCCGCTGGCGGTGCTCACGTCGGCGCTGCCGCTCCTGCATCTCGTAGATGTCGTTCATGCTGCGCGACGACTTGATGAGCAGCACTGCGTTGGCCCGTCGGTATCGGTAGCGGCGCGCGCCCACGCGGCCGTAGTAGGAGAACGTGCAGGATGGCTGGCGGTAGAAGGCATGACGGCGGCGCCGCATGGAAGCGCTGGTGCTTGACTGCTTCATGTCTGTGTGCGGGTGGCTGCTGGGGCCGGCGGGGACCCCGTTGGGCACCTTGATTGCCTCGTCGAGCTGGTCGCTAAGCAGCATCTCCTTGCCATCGTTGGGCGCGTCCTGCAGGAGGGCCGACAGGCGTTGCAGCTTAGCCCGAAAGGCATCCTGACTGCCTGCGCTGCTGCTGCGGCGTGGCGGGGTGCCATGGCAGGAGGACAGGCGGTCCTCGAAGATGGAAGGCTCGATTTCATGCAGGAACAGCGTGTCATGGTCCAGCTCCAGCGTGGCGTCGGGCATGGCCAGCACTGAGTCGCTCTTACTCCTCACGATGTTGACTTCCAGGAAGTCCATGTCCACGTCCCGCTCAGAGCGGCTGTCCTCGTAGGCGCAGTAGGTCTCGTCCTCGTAAATGGCATCCAGCTGGGGCAGGGCGCTGGCGGCCAGGCTCCCGTTCAGTTTGACTGAGGACGCTGTCTCAGCTTCTTCATCTAGCCGGTCCTGCTGCGGGCTGTACTGCCGCTCCTCGATGCTGATGAGGTGAAGTCCCACAGAGACGGTGAAAATGAGGGCAGCGAAGATGAAGAGGATCTGCTCCTGCGATTTGAAGACCTGGCCAAGGAAGGTGTGAGTCCAGTCTAGACCGCCCAGCATGTAGCCGACAGCACCCCCCAGTCCTGTGTGCACACACATAAAAAGACCAACAATTGTCAGCTACTTAATACAAGATAAATGTCACTATGCGCAACAGCGCCCCCTACTGCTGCAAGCAAACAAAATTTAGATAAAAAAACCACAACTCTGGTCAAGGACATCAAGAGCAGGATCAAGACACCCAGCACTGTTCTATTTACGTGCTTCTGTGACATGATTACATATTCATCCAGTCTAATCTTATTTTCTCTAATTTGAATTATTTTAAACACTGAAGTACACAAGCCTGATCTGAAAAGAACACAATGCGGAACAGAGAATGTGCTAAAAATTCTTATAGCATAGCCAAAACATTTATAAAAAGGGGTAACATAGAGAGTGAATCGTTGTGGTGGCTGGTGGAGATGCCCACTATGGGGAATGGAAATGAAGTCGCGCTTTCTAAGTCCCAGACTGACCTGCCTTCCACCCAAGACTCAGACACGATGCCACAGGACGTCACTCCTGAGCTGCTGCTCGAGCCGCTCCTCCTACACGCATGTTTCCATAAGCTTGCGTGACCCCACAACTGCCTGCACAGATGCACTAGTATGGTGATGCGTCGTTTAACGACAGGGATACGTCATGAGAAATGCGTCACTAGGCGATTTCATGATTGTGTGCACACCACAGAGTGTACTTACAGAATCACAGATTACATAGCCTTCTACACACCTAGGCAACAGTAAACTTTTTTTTAAGTGGAAAGAGTACTCACTCGAATGACAATAAAAAGCACAGTATAGTAAATGTATAAGCCAGTAATGTAGTTATCATTAATGATGATGTGCTGTGCGTAATTATATGTGCTGTACTTTTTCATGACTAGCAGCACTGGTAGGTTTCTGTACACCAGCACAAACACGTGAGTAATATGTTGCACTACAATGTCACCATGTGATAGGATTTATTCAGCTGTATTATAATCTTATAGAAGCACCGTCGTATATGCACTCCGCTGTCGACCGTCGTTGACAGACGTGTTATGTGGGTACAATCTGTGCATACCAGAGGCCTCTACTCACTCACAAATCTACATCTCCTCTATTCATCAACTTGTTTTTCTCCTCACACATCCACCGTCCTCATGTTTATGTTCACCGGCGTGTCAGTAAGTCTTTGAGAGTGACATCAACACCGGGGAAGAGTCCTTGTACATTGTTTGTCTTTGCACTTGGCAAATAGCAGTGATTCTGATCCCTGCCCAGCTGGAGTAAGTCACGCCCCCCCGGCCCGCCGGCTCTGCCGCAATTGTGAGTCACGCTGGGGAGCGGAGGCGGTGATGTATTGCGACGTGGGTGGCTGACAGAGAAGCCACAGCAGAACCGTTCCCGTCACACAGGTATTGCTCCTGGATCTCCACATACTTTGTTTCGCTTATTGCTGAAACACCCGATACTACCATCTCTGCTAAACCCCGCTGCCCTACCGGCAGAGAAGGCGTGGATGTTCAGGGCCATGTCCTGCTCCTCCGTGTCGGCCACGTCCAGCAGGTAGGCGCGGATGGGTCCCTCGGTGGCGTCCGCGCAGAAATCCAGCACCACCACCCCCAGCACGGTCAGTACGATGCCGATTGGCTGCTTGTTCGGCACGTCTCCGATAGCCAGACCTGCAGGATGACAACAGTGCAACACCTCCGGTGAAGAAGTGAAGAAGAGGGTGGTCTATTCAGCACCGCGGACCCTCTGCTGTGGGCCATCATGGGCACATGCTCAGCACAAAGGGTCACTCGAGGTCAGATGCCATGGAATTAGAGGAAAGACAAAAGTCAGAGGTAGTAACTTTTCAGGCATGTGCACGGAAACAAACGGAAGGAGTCACAGACAGAGAGACACACACACGGCGACATACACGCACACATACATGTAAACACGCAGAGAGCAGCACTGATTGAAAGCCCCAAGGTCTGGTTGCGTGCAGACACTCGTTGCTAAAGCAGGTGACTCACGTTCTGGCATCTATATGGGCTCTGACTGTAAGGGATGTACAGCGGTGAGGCGTTTTTACATTTTATTCAAACGAGGTATGCAGGGATGACCTTTCCCTTGGTAAAGTAGAGAGTATGAGCAGTAATCAGACTGTCGGGGACACACCTCTGCAGAAACACAGTTTCCAAGTTTTATATGTAGAGATACAATCACAAGGTCAGAAATGGTAACTTAATCCTCTTTCTGATTTCTGGAAAGTCCCAACATGATTATAGTTAAAAAGCTGCTCTTTATTCATTTTTGACTTTTGTATCCCTAAAGGCAAAAAAAAGGTGTAGCAGTTTTCATTAATAACAGAAGATTTATATGACTTTTATCTGTCAAAGGTTAGACTCCAATCCAGTCCCAACAATCTAAATTTTACACACTGTGACCTTCAACCTTGACCTTGGACTGCAGGTCACCTGACACCTACAGGCAGGAAGTGGAACAAGCAGCACCTGATGAATTTAAGGGACAGGCTTCCCAGTCTGAGGATAGCCGCAAACAGGGCACGGGTGGGTGCTGTCGGCTCCCATTTGCCCTGGCCAGCCCTGGCACACTGCCCCAAACAAGCTGTCCCCACTGCCAGCGGGACAGTGCATCAGACGCCCCAGCTTTAAGCAGGATCGAACAGGTCGGTCAACATTTCACTAAGCAAATATCACGCACAGCAGGGGTCCCTGTTCATGACATGCCATTTATCATAAACATACCTTGAGGAAACAGACACCTCTTCAAATGCTCCGATTAAAAATGCTGTGTACAAAAATGCGTCTTTCGATTCATTCTAAATATTTTCAGATGTCATTTCTTGTTCCCACGCAAACCCATAAATTACACCTTTTAAAACAGTTGCGGGAAATTGACTAAAGAAATAAATAAAACAATAGATGGACGTGGGTACGAGTCACGGCGAACGCGTAATTTCACAGGAAACCGTAGCCTTTATTTATAGCTGTCCCATTCAGGAGCGATTCGGACTTTGGACGGGTTCCCACTCACTGACAGAAACTGATTATTCGGCTGCATTTTTCGCAGAGGTGCTGCTCTTCTCCCGCTCTCTCTCCCTGAGAGACGGGTGAGAATGAGTGAAGACGGAGGCCGCGCGGCGGAGGGTAACGCCGTGCCACGCTAGCGCCCCGCTTCCCGACAATGGAGCCGCCACTGCGGACCAGAACGCTGCTGGAGACAGGAAGTGGTCCCAGATAGGCAATGAAAGGTAAAAACAGCCCACAACAGGAAGTGTTTCCCTGTGAACTGGTTCCTAGTCCTTTCCCATCACATCGCCCGCCCTGCTGACGACGGCCGCGGCGGGAGGTGCTGACTGATGAAACAGAACCTGCGGGGCCAGACCGGGCCCAACTGAACCAAGTCAGTCTGAGTCACAGGCAATAGTGGTACCATCCCATCTTGACAGGGGAAATACATACCTGAGAGAACTTGCCTCTCCCAAATACACACTCACCGCCCCAAGCAGGAAGCATCCCTGAGACATGTATATGTGCATGTAATTACACAATTTCACATATATTATAATGTATACACAATATATACCACTGCATGCAGAAATACACACCTGTAGGCTGCTGTGTATGTGAGCTCCTCTGTCTGGCCTCCAATAGGCAAGAAACCTACTAATGTCACATAGAAGATGCCAGCTTCACTGCAGCTGTGCAAAACTAACTTGCAACGGCCTGAGTTCCTCCATGGAAGTTCTGTGTCTTTGCGGAGGTAAATCCCCAGCCTACCTCTGTATACTCCATGGGCTGAAATAGGCTAATTATCCGCTAACAGGGCGAGTCTGATTGCCCACCCTTGGACTAATCTTATCCGCAAACCTGTGTATTCAGGTTTTTGGGATGACCTTCAGGTCAGCTGTTCAAACCCAGGTGTGAGGACCAATCAGTTCTCTAATCAATAATCTAATTAGGGACTTGCAGCAAAAACCAGCATACACACCGGCCCTTTCTGGATAAGATTGCCCACCCCTGGAATAGTCAGTGATCGCCAGCTGCGGCCTGAAGGGCCATATATGGTGTGTAGGTCAGGTCACGGCAAAAACCGGGCTCAGTCAGAGGGTAACGACGGTGACACAGTGGCACTACTCAACCTGCCGGTTGGTAAGATGCTGACTCGGCCCGTGGCGATTTCCGGAGTCTTACCGATGAGGGAGCCGTTGAGAAAGAGTGCCACGCCGAACAACACCCCCACGCAAAGCGCCAGGATGAATGGGCGCCGGCGACCCCATCGTAGTGTGCAGCGGTCACTGGCCGAGCCGATCAGAGGCGTGAAGACCAAGCCCAGGATGGGGCTCAGGAACCATGTCAGGCTGTAATACTGTTCTGGAAGACCTGGGGGGTAGAGGACAGCGAAACACAAGTCAGGATTCCCATTTTAACATTATAATGCGTCTCCAGTAGCAACACCTGGAGGGGAAGGGCAGAGACAATGATTCCTAAGCTCCATTCCATGTCCTTGTGCCCCCCCCCACCACACACATGCACGCACACACAATCCTAACCATAACCAGTAAACACCCTTCAGCACTTGGCAACTGACAAACCACATCGATGGAAAATACTGATATACACGCCTATTAAAACTGCATCGCATTTCTGCATAGGAGTGTCAAAACAAAATATATATGCGTGCCCAAAGCTGGGGAATGGGAACTGAAGCACACAGGAACAGGGGGATGACTTTCCATTAAGACACGACGTAACGTAGGCTAGTGTGTCTCCCAGGGCTTTTCCAATCGATCTCAGCGGCGGCGTGTAATACCGCGGGGGCCGGTGAGCCCGGCTGCGCTTCACTAAAAGCCAGCGTAAGATTATGAATAACCTTCCCGACGGCATTTAATTTGATACCCTGATCAAGCGCGGACAGAGAACGACAACAAACGGCGACACCGCCGTCCATGCCGGTCTGTCGCCAGCAGGGCGCCTCATTGAGGGCGGGGTGGAACTAAACAATACGAGGGGGGTGACATGTGAGCCGCGCGGACACACTGGCTGGTCGTCACCTCCGACACGGGCCAATGACAGCATGCCAACGGTATGTTCCTGCCCGCCAGCGTTAAAATGGGAGTCTTACGTCGGACGGAAGGACTGCCAGCCATGTAGGCTGAAAACTGCAGCCCATGTAAGCAAAAACAAAAACGTATCAAAATAAGATTTGCAGTGCGGATGAACCAGGCAGTGGCCCTAGCTGAATGCTCCCCCCCCCCATCGAGAATAAAAACCACACTGCACAACCTGCTCTTTGGCCCATTGGTATGCATAATCACACTGGATCACTGCAGACATTCCTGCAGCAGTAAACAGGGGCCCAAAATGCTGACTCAGTTCTGCCGCTCATTCAACTGGGCCTTTTAGCTGAAATGATGGACGGCTCTCCAAGCCAGATAATTAGACACTAGGGGGGTAATGATTTCCTTTTCCTTGCACATTTGCTCGTGCGGAGATGGGAATTTCACGTGGCCGAACCTGACCGCTCCCCTCCGATTGTTTATGGATGGCTGATTTCCCTGAGCGCAGCAGGATGATCTGAAGGCCCGGACACCCCATACATTACCATTAAACATTGCACTGCAATTGCCAGTGGATACATGCTGCACGGTCTTCACTCTCCACACAGTATCTCCATTTGGAAAGATCCTGTAACAGGCTGGTCTCAGCCCCAAATGTAGCATACAGTAAACAAAAACACTTGGAAAAAACTAGTCTGCAAAACACACAAGCCCAATGAAACCGGAACACTCCCCCCAGATAAAGCTATTATGAGTATCCACAAACCATTTGGCTTCAGCTCCCCATTTTGGTCGCCTTCTTTGGCATGTGACCGCTCAGGTGACAGGCCTGGAAAGGGTTTCGGGTGAGTCGTCGGGGTCACCACGAGGACATGGGATAGCGACATCCAAACCAAAACAGCTGATATGCCACATTGTCCACTATGTTTATTCACAAAATGAGGGTATACATCTGTGTGTGTGGTTGTGGCTGTGAGACCAGTCTGTTCACAAGCTTAGAGTTGCTGTCTTTGACTTGAAAAAAATATATAATGTACAGTGAGAGCCTCTTCTCTGCAATCTACGTGAAGAGCTCAGGAATATAATGGCCGAAACAATGGAATTAATTCTGCATGACCATCAGCTAATCCTGAATGACCTCTTAACCATGTGGGAAAGGTAAAACTGTATGTGCCTCAGCTATATATGACAAACATTAATGCCTTGCTCTCAAACTGGGCTCATATCAGTACAAATTAAATGCACTTGGCCGAGGAACGTTAACTGGACAAGTAAAGCCTCCCTCCGTCCCAGTTGTGAAACCAAACAGTTATCTCCAAAATTCTGTGCTTTTGAAAGGCACAGGCTGAGGAGGCAGGAAGAAGGATGCAATGTTATCACCTTCACGTCTTTATCACACCACGGTGTGAGGCGGCTCTGTGAAAATGTTCGGTAAAAAGCATGTTGCAAGACTCTGGAACAAGATCATTTTCTCATAATGTCAATAGTTTTAGTAGCATAAGGGCTAGCAGTAAGTACAAATTCCACCTTATCTTCCATTTTCCCATAATGCAATTCAGCGTGTGCAATAACCAAGGTTACAATGTAGTGATTCCAAGTAGGGGTTAAACAGCAATTCTGCAAAATGTTCCCTCACCTAGAAGGTGAATCTGGATTTGGAACTTCCTTTTACAGCTGCAAACATATAGCACTGGTTTCAAAGTCTTTTTTCAGATCTGGAGGATGTTTGAAAGCCTCCTCAGATGTATGGGTGAGTGTCTGAAGGAGAGTGGTGGAGAGCATTCCTTTGCGTGGGATTAGATGTGTTGGAGGGTGACCCATCTTCATATCAGCACACCAGTAACTATAACAACATGGCAGTAAATTAAGGACTCAAGGTAAAGATCCACAAAATGATCAAATTTAGATTAAATATGGCTACAAAGTGACAGTCCATTTGCATAGCAACTACAAAAAAAAACTGAACCTCTGATGGGAGAGGGAAAAAAGGCCTAATATGAAAAAACGATCTGGACAATAAATTATATAACCAATCTTAAGAAGATATACAGATAATCTGGAATATACTTGTAGTTGTAAAAGGGAGTCTTTCCAAATCATAGCCCAAGCAGATCCATTAACGGTAGTCTCAGTTATCCTCCAGTGACATGCATGACACAGCTTACCCACAATGCAATTGTGGCCGGCCCTCACGGGACACAATTCAGCATAATGGGAGCCACGGAAACAGAATAAGTTGTTCTGTTTTGTGTGGTTGGTGTCACATGTTTGGCGTCTGCCCCAGACCCCACCCGCCGTGAAGAGCATCAGCTGGACGCACTTTAGGAAACCAATACTGTCCAGTACTTAAAAGAAGGGGTTGCATGACTGAGCACTGACTCAATTCCGGAAGACAGGAGGACGAAACCACAAAGCGTGATCTTACATCACGCAACAGTTTTATTGGTAATGTCTTAGATGGAAAAGCGCCACAGGTGTCAGGTGGAGAATATATAGATGATACAGAGTAAGGTGATACTACTAATGCTTAATGGCTGTGTGGAACTAAAAGCAACAACAAACAAATACAATGTCATGGGACATCATGAGTAACACCAACGACTGGCTTCACCCAGCATCTCTGGGCTGTTTGACTCCTGACTGCATTTCGAAGATGAGAGCTGTCTGATATCTTTAAGATGCTTTTCTTGAACCACACAGCTCACGGCGCTAAATGCGCACCAATGAAAAGATGAGGCTGCTTCTCTGAAGCCCTGCTGAAAGAGCGTGGCATGTTCCTGCTTCGTAATGCATGAAACAATTCCAGAAGAACCCACCTCGTGGCCTTGGACATCGTGCAACTGATTACTGCTGTGTGTCAGCAATGCGTTCATAAAAGTTGTCCTTCTTGAGTAGTCTTTGAATGTTGTGTGGCAGCCATATTTCAGTAAACCAAACAGGAGCATATTTACTATATTCTGAGGAGAAAAAGTATTTGCTAAGCTAATTAAGCGCAGGCGCTAAAGTCGCTAATTTGCTCTCGTTGATCTTTTGCAGCTCTCCTAAGCTGGGCTCTTCATCACTGAACACCTCAGAGCGTGAGAAGATTTTTAAAAAAAGGTCCTTATCAGCAACCTTCCCCGGGAACGGTGTGTACACAGGATCTCGCCGCAAGCTACCATTTCGGCTTACGTGGAAAACGACAATTGGTAACACGGGCGAGCTGGCTTGGGAACACGTCCTTCCATTCTGCTCCGTAACGCCATTCCTTCCCAGAGAAATGACAGAGCCGTGTGATCGCCCGTCAGGACTCAACTTCCTCTTCCTATTTTTCCGTTATGAGATTATGGGGGGTGGGGGGGTGATTTTCCCCCAACTGTGTACCGCCGGCAGGAACAAAAGACACAGACAGACAGATTTAATCAGCTAATCCGTATTTTGTTTCCCTCAAAACAAACTCGGTAAACATCCAAACAGGACATCAGACTGTAGTAAATAATGCTGTTTTTTTCCCCCAGCAGGCGAAAAATCCTAACAATACTGGGAGCAGTCAGTCTTTCGGCACTCCAGGAAATATTTACGATATTAGAGGCAGGACGCAAAAGTTTACGTCAGGTCAAATTAGCAGAAAATCAGAAACTGAGGCCAAACAAACTTCTGCATGAAAACAGCTGCTTTAAATTATACAATTGAAAAAAATACGGCAGCAAAACAAAGTTCGTGTGCATATTTTTAGCTCCAAACACAACTCAGTCATTCCTTAAAGGAGATCTGCTATGCAGACAGATGGTTGGAGCCTTGCCCCCACATAATGATAATGATTTGATAATTATATTTTGCTATTTGCACGAGTACATGGGAAATCCTTAGTATTCACATCCCATCTGTGAGACACAGCAGGCGGCAAGCCTTGGGGTCAGAGTGCAGAGTCGGCCATTTTTTCAGCCCCCTGGGGTAGTTTACAGGGTTAAGTGCCCAACTGTGATAATAGCCAGTGACCTTCTGATCAAGGTCAGTGTCGTAAGCTGCAGGGCCGGTCAGTCACATGACCCCCCCTGACCCCCCCGACCTATGCCGCAGTACAGAGGACCTGCATGCGCTCACTCCCCCTGCAGGAGGAGGGCAGGCTGCAGTTGCAGGACAAGACCACTGTGTGTTTAATCCGGACATGTATGCTAATGTCCTGGTTATCTGCTGCTCAGAACATCTGCTTCACCTTTATGGATTTATTTATTTACATTTTTTTAGCAGATGCTTTTATTCAAAAGCATGATTCACAGTTGCGAGAGCGGGGTCAGGCAGTCCCTTGAGGAATGGGGGTTTAAGGACCACAGGTAAAACCAT